TACCGCAGCCTCTGCAGGCTGCCCCCAAAGACTCAGGGCCAGTAAGAACAAGCCGGCAGCCAGGCTGACTCCACGCAGTTTCATTCTTCTCCGGCTCCCGCAGCTCCTTCAGCACCCGCACGAAATCCCTGGCTAGCTCTGACCAACTGACATAATCTTGAGTTTATGGGGAGAGAGCTAGAGGCGGAGAGGGACAGCGAGGGTGTCCCAATTGTGCCCGTCGGCTTAGGTGAGGAGGAAGCTTTTTAAGAGTGTTGGGGGTGGGAAAAAAAAAAAAAAAAAAGGAGAAGCTCTTCTTCCCTCCCCCCCTCCCCTCCCCAAAGCTGGTCTCTCGGGAGCACTTTTCCCTTCTGTCTGGACTTGCAAACTTTTTCCTCACGCAAGTCCCACAGCTCAACTTTCCTCCCTCTCTCCTCCCGCACCGCCCCCTCCCCACCAGCTACTGGGGAATTTGAGGATCACTCCGCCACCGCTTCAGACTGCCCCAGCAACCTGCGAGGGAGTGACGCTCAGTTATTTGGGGGAGGGAAACTTCCAGATCAGTTGGCTGAGTACCATGAGTCCAACCGGGAAGCTTTTCTATTCGTTCACTTGCACCTTCCGTTGGTATTACTCTTCCCTGCCCAGTCCCACTCTCATTGGTGAGAGCACCAAAGCCAATTACAAATAGACCTGAGCTGGGACTATTTTTTTTAGCGGATGGATCTTAGAAGAACTGAGCTTTTTATTGTTAATGATTAGAAACAAATTTTGGTCGCCGCTCCCTGGGCTGCTGGTGTTCTTTGCCTTCCACCTGCTCGCAGGACAGTTTCTACATACAATAAAATATGTGAAAATATTAGAACTGTATAAGTATATTTACATAATTAAACATATTCTTACAACCGAAGAATTAGGAAAACGAACCTACTTAGGTGTACGAAGACTTTATGCGTGATTTAAACATCTAAGATTGAGGAGCATTCAGTAGATATTGGTAATTATTATATGGTTGGATGCTATTGTAATACAGTCATATCTTTTTATTTAACTACATTGTTAAATGCTGTAATTTTTACCTTTTGTGTTGAACTAATATAAAAAGGTATTGACTCTCATTGCAGTTGTGTTTCAGAAGGATTTAGTACGGGGAATTAAATAACTTTCATGAAGTTTTCTTTAAAACTAACACAGATACCTAACTGGGAACATTTATGTAGAGTTAATGGCAGTTGAATTGATGTTTCCGAAATAAAGTAGACTTGAGCATTACTTTGGTAATCCTGATCTACAGATTTGTTAAAGTACCAACAGGCCCAGAAAATATTTTGTGTGGACTCCTTGGAGGGTCTTTCGTGGATTTGCTCAGGAATTCCTCAGAACATTTCTGTTATCTCAGAACCTAGAATTTGCCACTTGAGAGTCTTGCAAGACTTTGGACCTATTCATGGGGGCCCACTCAGCCTTAGGTTCTACTCAGCTTTGGGTAGATTTATTACTCCAGAAACTTCCACCACCACCCCACCCCACCCCACCCCACCCCCAGGAGCTTAGTAGACGATCAGAATGAGTGTTGTATGCATTTGGGCAAGCGTGCAAGGGCACTTTGGGGCCCATCGGTAGGAGTCCTGTGCCTTAAATCTATTTATGTGTAACAGTTAACGGTGGTTTATGGAAGTGTATGCTGCACAGTTGCTTAGATCTTAGTGTAGAGGCCTCTATGGGCCTGCGCGTGAAGCTGTGGAGATGCGTGGGAATATTATGCGCAGAGGTCCCTGAAAGTGAGAAAGACGCCGGGCTGCCCAAGGTAGGGGGGATGATTGACAGCAGACAGCCCCGCCCCTTTCCCTCCATTCCTTCCTCTCCTAGTGTATGGAACTATCTTTTGAGTGCGGCAAGTTGTAGCGGGCACCGCTGACTGTTTCCCTTTGGGGCACTTCTTATCTAGAAGCTGTTTAGTTTCTTCCGAAGTGGGCCACTTCGCCCCCCTAGCCCGTCCTCCTGAATAAGGAAGCAGCCGCCAAGCATCAGCGGAGCCCTGATGAGCCGGGGCTGTGGAGCCGCTTAGCTGTCTCCCGGGACCCAGCTCCGGAGGAGCCGCAAGCATGCACCCTGGGTGAGCTGTTGCTGCCCTGAGCTCCCCTCCCTCTTTCCTACTTTGAGCTACTTTGCCGGACCGGGACTATACTTGTACTTATGTCATTGCAGAGAAAGTGGGGGGGCAGGCAGCCAAAAAGGGTCGGGGACTACGGACAGACGTAGGACCCGGAGCCTTGAGAGCCCATGTTACTCACCCTTCCTCCTGTTTCAGGTTGTGGCTGCTCCTGGTTACGTTGTGCCTGACCGAGGAACTGGCAGGAGCCGTGAGTCTCTTTTCCTCCCCGACCCTTTTCCCTCCCCCTCCTTTGACCCCCTTCCCATTCCACCTCTTGTGTTTGTGTTAGGGGGTTACAGAAGGTTGCACTGCGAAACAGAGTTCACATCACTCTCCTTTCTAGTGGGAGTTAATGGGGTTCTTAGGCATAGCACAGCGTCACGCTTATGCCTTTGGGACTCAGGCATCTTTCTATCCCAAAACTTCGTAACGGGTTGGGAAAATAAAAGTGGAAGACACAAGAGACGCACATTTCTGAGCCTATTCCCATACGACTTTAAGATGACTGACATCTGATGCTTTTCTCTGCATCTATCTCCAAGGCAGAAGAAATGTAATTTTCCCTGGTCTACAAGAACATGAATTGGCACACAAGTTTGAGAGTGGGAGGAGAGCGCAAGGAGTGGGACTTGAAAGTGCCGCGAAAGTTATGGGAGTCAACTTGCTTGTGATCCTTTGACAGTACCAGATGACAACATCTGGACTCTTTAACTACCTGAACTGAACTAATACCACTAGATGATGTTCAGTTTCTGTCTGATGTTTCCTTTCACTGGTTTTCTGTGTCATCAGAAAGTTTAGAATAGAAAAAAAAAATCTGAAAGTTAACATTTCATAGGCTGTTTAGATATCATCCATCGAATCAGCTAGGGACTGCAGGCAAAGGAATTTCTGCAGACATCTGGTCAAGAAAAGTTTAATGGATCCCAGAAAGTAGAGAGACCCCCAGTGTAATTACTAGGATAATTTACCAAAGGAGGAATGACCCGAATAATGAGAGATATTGCAGTTTTCCAATCTCACTAGCTACTTCTGCTGGCAGAAATAAAGTTAGCTGCTGAGTTCAAATATGAAGTTGTTTGACTATTGAGTACAATTTCACTGCTCTATTTAATAAACTGTTAATAGCCAAAGTCACGCACCATATAGATGATAGATATTTACCTTGTGGGTTTGACAATTTAAAATGATTGGCTGTATTTTTAATACTTGAAATATTTGTAAATACTATGTATAGAGCCATACTTAATTCAACCCAATAAAAGCAACTAATATGTTTATGGGTGGGGGGAAGGATTACTTTGTCCTGGCATATATCTTTAAGAAAATATCAGAATGAAGTGAAATTATTTCTCTTAAGAAAAGAGAATGATGCCAGAATACCTGACTTTTAACATCTTGTGACACCCCCCCCAACTCAGAACATCAGCTCTTATGTAAGTAAATTCAAGACTTTGTAAACAGGAGTATTGATCTACGATTCTGTGTACTTCTCCATCTGATTCCTCCAGTACACAAGTTTAGTTATGTGTTACCTTGAGGCTCAATACTACATTTATTGAAAATGCCAGGTTTTGATTAGTTAACAATTTGTCCGGGAATCTTGCCGCTTGTAAAATGTTATGCCTGGGCAGCATACCCTCCAGCAAAACCTTTATTTTCAGACTCTAGCTGATTGTATTCAGTGTACTTTTGGGGCAAGGCATTAACAAATCATTCTAGATAGCTGGAGACTGCCCAAACACTGCATTTTATCACTTGATATACATAAAAGGCACTGGAGGATTATGCTTTAATTCTTAGAAGTATTGAAGTGTGTCTCTAAAAGCAAGCCCTGCTTTGGGTGTGTGGATTTCAGATTATCATTGTTTTACAATGCCAACTGCTATATCAGTGTGAGTGACCCCGGTAAGACTAAAATAAACCTTGAGATACACTGACAATATTTTTTGTTTTAGCTTATTTACATCCAGAGCTGCTTCCTTCACTGCTGTTTACTTCTGCATATTATCTTTGGCAGTGTAAAGCTATTTTTTTTTTTTCATTCGGGAGAAAATGGCAAAGAAAAAGAGGAGAATCACAAGATAAGTTCTCAAAAGGTGACTTTTCTGAGGGGAAGTTTTTTGTTTGTTTTTACTCTTTGTAGTGGATTCTCATGTGTATTGGATGGTTCTCATCTCCTCTCAATTCCTGTTTATCCTCTGGGTTTGTAATGTTTTTCACCTTTCAAATGGTTTTAGCTCTTTGAATTCTCTGTACCTTGACTAATACTAATGAAAAATAACGTTTAAATAGATTGACAAGGAACTAGGTTATGCTTCTCTATAAGAAAGTTTGTTCACTGTGAGAGTTAAGTTGCCAATAACAGAATCTTGGTGACCATTTGAGATAGGGTCTTTTAGGTGCTTTTGATTTCTCTTTGTCAGAGTTTATAAAGCAGTGCTATTTAAAGGGATGGAAAGCTAAATGTTAAGACCTGGGATTAAAGAATGAGTTTCCATTAAATTTCTTTAAAAGAGTGATGATCTTCATTGAGGTGAAGTACTTGCACAATTTATCTGAATGAGATAGAGCCTAGGATTTCAGAATATCCATAATCATTTTTGGTTATTAAGTGCCTGAGGCACAGCACACAAAGATTTATTTAAACATAGTCTCTAACTCTCTAGGATTTTACTTTCTCAGATGATGGTGGTCATTATGTTCCTTAAAAGATAGGATACCTAATGATAAATTATTATCTGCATGTACCTGCATTGTGTTAAAGAAAAGAATAGGAAGATTGATATCTCACCATAGGCCAACATATCTAGCAGTTAAAATATGCGAACAAAGTAGTCAGGGTCCTTATTTTTTCTTCCCGGTTTGCCTCAAATCTGCTTTTGTGAAAAGCTCAAATACAACCAAGCATATTTAAAGTCAAAGCCTAGCGAGAGTTATTTAGATAGAGAAGAGGCAAAGGGGAGAAAATATATGTCTGGTTGTCCCCTTCTGCAAAGAGCATAGGTAAATCAAGGTCTGATTGAAATACAAACTTCTTTCCTTAAAGTTGTAACTTGCCCAAGTTGGTCCTTTCCACTGTGATGTTCAGCCCTAATTGCAGCCATCAAAGTATGAATAGAGTGTTCGGGATTTTCAGAGATGGAGAAAGTTTCTTCCTACTCTAAGGATCAAGAGGAGTATTTGCCTTATTTGGGGCTGTGTCTCTAAAAAACCAACTTTATTGAGATACAATTTAAATACCATAAATTCACATATTTTATATATATATAATTCAATGATTTTTAGTAAATTTACCAAGTTGTGCAACTATTGCTAGTTTTAGAACATTTTCATCACCCCAGTAAGATCCTTCATATCCAGTCACAGTTAACCCTCATTCCCACCCCTAACCCCAAGTGAACATGAATCTACTTTTCTACTTCTATAGATTTGTCTTTTCTGGGCATTTCATATAAATAGAATAGAATCATATAATATGTGATCTTTTGTGTTTGGCATCTTTCACTTAGCATAATGTTTTTGAAGTTCATTCATGTTGTAGCATGTATCAGTATTTTACTCTATTGGTGTTGGCATTTAATATTGGTATTCCATTATGGATATACCCCATTTTTTAAAAAGATTTTGTTTAGTTATTTGAGAGAGAGAGCACGAGATGGGGGAGGGTCAGAGGGAGAAGCAGACTCCCCGCGGAGCAGGGAGCCTGACGCAGGACTTGATCCTGGAACTCCAGGATCATGACCTGAGCCTAAGGCATTCGCTTAACCGACTGAGCCACCCAGGTGCCCTGAATATACCCCATTTTGTTTATGCATTCACCAGTTAATGGACGTTGGGCTCTTTCCACTTTTTGGCTATTATGAATAAAGCCATTATGAACATTATCATGCAAATCTTTGTGTGGACATTCAATTTACATTTCTTGAGTAGATATGTAGGGATGGAATTGCTAGGTCATATGAAAAATTTCTATTTATATTTATTTAAATCTTTTGCCCATTTTAAGATTGGGTTGTCTTATTATTGAGTTGTAAGAGTTCTTTGGATATTCTGGATACAAGTCCTTTGCCATACATTACAACTTGCAAATATTTTCTCCCAATCTGTGGCTGATGGCTGGTCTTTTCATTTTCTTAATATGAAATTTTAAAGTAGTCTGCTTTGCCAGCAAATGTCCTATATCAGCTAGCTGTGACCAATCACAATATATAACATATATATGTGTGTGTATGTATGTACATAGAATATTTATCTTGGGATGACTAAGGATACTGATACATACATATGAGTACATCATCAAAGGAATCTTCAAATGACTACATAAATGGATAACACATAGATGATAATGTAGCTACACTATTGACAGGTCAAATACAAACATATTTTAAGACAGGAGAGGAGGGGAAATAGATATTATTTAATGCGCTACTAAAGAAGCAGATAGATAATTCCATATCACAAATTTGTCTTATTATGTTTTGATTATTATATTTCAGTATGATTGGTTTCCACTGTAATCCCATGTATTTTATTGAATACATTTAAAAAACTATTCTGAAAAGGAGTCCGTAGGCTTCACTAGACTGCCAAAGTAATCTGTGACATTAAAAAAACCCTAGTTATGCAGTTGGTTTTTAGAATAAACAAGTTGTCACTTTCTAAGGCTTGTTCAGGGATGAGGGCATTTGCATTGACTACAAATACCAATAATCTGTTAGATTTTAGGCATATTATGTAGTACCCAGTAAATATGCCCCTAGGTACTATAATCTTATAATCAAGCCAGATCACAGGAGCAAAGTATGCTGTTTCCCTAATGACTTCATTAATATAAGAATGAAACAATACAACATTGTATTGTAAGTCCTAGCCAGAGGAATTACTCAAAAAACGAAATAAAGGCATCCAAATTGGAGAGGAAGAAGTAAAACTGTCACTATTTGTAGATGACGTATTATATATAGAAACCCTAAAGACTCCATCAAAAAAATAAAAACATTAGAACTAATAAACTCAGTAAAGCTGCAGGATACAAAAT